ATAGTGAAAATGATAAGATATATAATTTGGTTACATAAAGTTGATGTTTAATAAAATGTAAAAATATATAAAAGAAGTAGATAAAAAAAAAGCTGTGTCTTCCTTTCCACCAACATGAGAAGATGATTCATGCGTAAGCATCATTCTACTACCTTTTTGGAACATGAATGTCAAATATACAGTAGCTCACACCCAAAGTGATGCAGCTGGTCGTTTAAGACATGTGTTAAAGAAAACTAAAACGGCTCAGAATCAAATATCTAACGGAAGGGTTTTCCGATGGCTTGTACGGAAAATACGTGGAAACCCCCACTTGAGTGCTCCAGATTTAGGTAAAGAAGTGCAATAATATCTTGGAAAAAGCTGTGACCCAAAAACTATGCGAAGAATCCTCAGAGAAGCTGATTTCAATGGCTGCAAAGCTTAAAATTAACCATATATCAATTCTAAGAATCAAAATGCAAGGCTAAGGTTTGCAAAGGAGCATTTATATAAAAATGAAAGTTTCTGGGACACCGTATTTTTTGCGGACTAAAGTAAATTAAAGGTGTTTAGACCAGATAGAAGGAGCCTAGTATGGAGAAAACCAAACGCAGCGTAACGTAGCACTGTAAAACATGTTGGAGGGCATGTAATGGTATGATGATGCATATTGTCTTCTTTGGATTTCACCAATCGTACTATGGTAAGACTGTGTATTTGAACATTTTAAAAACTAATTTGTTGCAAATTGACTGTCTTGACTAAACATGGTAAAATGTTCGAAATGGGTAGATACACTGAAAAAGATGTTGAGCAAGAAACCAGTGCTAGGCATATTTAATCAGTAATACGAAACCGAGGTTCATACTGACGCCTCTATCGATGGTTATGGTGCTGTTCTTTTTCAAAAATTCCCCGATAATAACGAATTACATCCTATATACTATATGAGTAAGAAGACTTCGGACGCAGAACGAAAGTACTCAAGTTACGAATTAGAAATTTTAGCCGTTATAGCAGCATTAGAAAAGTTTCGAGTTTACTTGCTAGGTTTGCACTTCAAACTAGTTACTGACTGCTACGCATTCACGAAGACATTGGAGAAAGAAGAATTAAGTACTAGGGTAGCTCGTTGGGTATTACGCCTTAAAGAATATGATTATCAAGTAGAACATTGAAGTGATCTCCGAATGAAGCATGTAGATGCCGTTATCCAGTCATGGTAGTAACAAACGTAGACATCCTAACTTCCATATGTCGTACTAAACAGCAAGATGAAGATCTCAGAGCTATTTCTGAAATTATTAAAGAAAAGCAGGCATACAACGATTATTTTGAGAAAAGTGGTATTCTTACGAAGCTAGTTGACGATAACGAGTTGGTGGTGGTACCGAAGTCTATGCAGCGAGATGTGATCAGACGAGCACATGGTAAATGTCATTTTGCCATGAAGAAGACGAAAGAATTAATTTGTCGAGAATTTTTCATTCCAAAGCTTGAAGAAAAGATAAGAGCACACGTTAACAATTACGTTTCATGTATTGTTGCTAATCGAAAGACAGGTAAACAAGAAGGCAAATTGCACCCTCTACATAAAGAAGCAAAACCGCTGTACACTTATCATATTGATTTTCTTGGCCCTCTGGAGTCAACAAATAAATCGTATAAACACATATTCGCAATAGTAGATTCTTTAACAAATTTTGCGTGGGTATATCCAACTAAGTCCACTTCAGCACAAGAAACAATCAGCCGTTTGAATTTACAGAGTGCAACGTTTGGGAGTCCTGTTCATATTATCTCTGACAGTGATTCCGCATTTACATCTGATGATTTTCGACGTTATTGTAATGAAGAAAATATTCAACATTCGACAATAACCACCGGTCTTCCACGTACAAACGGCCACGTGGAGCGTTTAATGAGTATTGTTACTAACGTTCTAACGAAGCTAAGTAAAGACGATGGTATAAATTTGTAGATAGAGTACAACAAGTTATTAACTACTTTTAATCGAAGTATCAATATGATACCGTTTGAACTACTTATTGGCGTGAAAATGAGAACAGCCGACGACTTTTATATTAAAAATCTTATAGAAGAAGAAAATAGACAACAACATCAAGAACAAAGAGATGACTCGAGGCAGCAAGCAAAAAATCAAATTTTGAAAATACAAGACGAAAACAGAAATACTTACAACCTTCGACGCAAAGAAGCTAACAAATACGCGCTGGACGAACTCGTTGCTGTAAAACGCACACAGTTTGGTGGAGGGCTCAAACTAAAACCACAATATTTGGGTTCTTACCGTATTGTAAAAATTAAGCCAAATAATTCTTATGACGTTGTTAAAGCAGGAGAGTGCGAAGGCCCAAACCGAACTTCAACTTGTGCCGAGTATATGAAACCATGGGTAAATTATTCCGAAGATGACATCGATCCATTCGGGGGCGAAACCGAAGCAGGATGGCCGATTGTGGGATTCGGTAAACCAGCAGTATAGTTGGAAACCCTTACCATACTACAAAACTACGTCTGCAAAGCACAACTCTTGACGAAGTAGCCATGAAGCTGAGCAGAAGTTAGTTCACTTGTAGACGCGAACCATATTAGACGGCGTTAACCAAAATAGACGAAAAAGCTTGTTAATTCTTATTATTTAATTATTTATTCAATAAACTGTTTATTTAAAATCAAAACGTTCTTTTATTCATAAACCACATAATAGTGAATAAAAGGTCCCATATATATATACCACTTTCCATAATTTATACTTTCGTACAAAAGCTTAGCAACTGAAGTTCCTAAGCTCACAAACGTTTTTTCTTTAATAGATTGTTTACATACAATTTCCGTCTGAACAAAAGTATGCACGTTACCTTAGCAAAAACTGCTTCAAATAGGTGTAACTGACATGACTTTCTTTAGCACAACTCTTGACGAAGTAGCCATGAAGCTGAGCAGAAGTTAGTTCACTTGTAGACGCGAACCATATTAGACGGCGTTAACCAAAGACGCTGAGCAGAAGTTAGCACAATTGTAGACGCGAACCAGGTTTTTTTCGTCTATTTTGGTTAACGCCGTCTAATATGGTTCGCGTCTACAAGTGAACTAACTTCTGCTCAGCTTAATGGTTACTTCGCCAAGAGTTGTGCTAAAGAAAGTCATGTCAGTTACACCTATTTGAAGCAGTTTTTGCTAAGGTAACGTGCATACTTTTGTTCAGACGAAAATTGTATGTAAACAATCTATTAAAGAAAAAACGTTTGTGAGCTTAGGAACTTCAGTCTATGACCTAAAATTATATGTGGTAACTTAGCCAGACAGAGAATGCTAGTACTTCATGTTTATGAAAGCTGTGGTTCCCTTAAGTTGTAGAGAAAGAAAAGGAAGAATCAGTGAAACTCAGTAAAATAACAACTAAGCCAGTAATTGTTATTGATGGGAAGTACATATCTAATTTTTTCTTTGTCTATGTGTATATAGCAAATAAAGTCTGCGCTCACCTGACGCATTTGTGAAGTTAAATAAGAGCACAATGTAAATATGTAATTAAGTTTAAATTTTTTTCTTGTACTTCTTTATATTTTGTGATCTAATTGTAACAACATATAAACATGGGCACCACAAAGTCTGCATTCAGTCAGTGTTACATTTCATGAAGATGTTGTTTTTTTGGACTTTCCGTCTTTTATTCCAATCATTTGTTTCAATTATTTAATGCGTTTTATTAATAGTTTTAAAATGTGGAAGCTCGAATAAGCCCGAGTTACTCCTTTTTGCATGTTTTATATTAGTGTTTCGGAGAGGAAGTTTTTAGAGCCAATATATATATTTTTTAATTATGTTACTTATTTTTTCCTCTGTTTTACATTTTAGCCATTTCGCCGAAAAATGTAATAAAATGTTAGGCTGCAACTACCCAACTTACCAGCCGTCCATAAAGGCGAGATAAACACACGAGCGGCGAAATGTTGCCAGCTGACAGAGTGTGTGCACACTTCTAAACAAATTCATAATTTTCGTCAACGAATTTCATAATTTGTATGCTTGGATATAAACACAAGACAAATATATATGATCTATATGGTAACAAATAATTAGTTACGCATTTATTTTTTATATCTTTTGAACAAAACTACGTATTTTCTTCGATCATTCAATGTTACTTTAAGAAAGGCTATACTGGCAACCTTGTGTAGCAACGAAAAATGAGCCGAGCCGGTTTTACGGAAAAAATCAAAACTTCGTTGGTTTCTACGGATCAACCGTCACTAACGGCATGGGCAAGCGGTGACAGCTTTGTGTTTACATGGAACTCTCATAAGATAGGTTACTATGGACGGTTGGTACGCGCGTTGGGTAGTTGCAGCATTAGAGTTTGCAAAGTGTTGTTGCAAAGCAGGTTTATAGAATGCAGTGTTGCATTGTAATGATACGGTTGCCAACCGACACCATTACAAAATTCTTTGACGTTTTACTGTAGAAATAGTCAGACTTTGGCTCTTGTACAGAAGTCCTAGACAGCTTACCATGCCTCTTCAGTAAGCAGATCTCAATCGTATGGAACTTTTCAGGGATCCAAAGGAAAAAATAATTCACCAGAATGTATTAGAAATAAAGAACGAAGTGTTTCGGAGGCAGAATGATCTAGATTACACTGTGTTGAAAGAAATGTTGGTAAAACAACATGACGTATTACATTTATTTTATATAATTTTTGAGGATTTTGTAACTAATTTTAAGATGAACGTAGACTTTGTTTGCCTATTTTTACATGTTGCTACATTCGGATACCGTTACCACGTAAACGAATTTTGGAATATATATTTTTGGCTTAGCATTTTGTAGTTTAAATTATAAATATCAAATAAAAGTCAAAAAAATTTAAGTGATTTACACATTTACATAAAATTTTTACTTCACTTAAATAAATGCAGGTGAACGCAGACTTTATTGGCTGTGTACATATAATCACACGTTAATTATTGTGAAACTGATGACCCCGATGTTATTAATAAAAATCATTTTTTACATCCTAGATATTCTTTTAACAAATGGCCACAATTGATGGAAGACCGGCGCAATATGGGATTTCTCTTAAACAATTGCGGGAGCTCATGGAGCATCGTGGCAGGGAAGGCGTAGCAAAGCTAAGCGAAGTTGGTGGAGTTGCTAAATTGTGCGACAAGCTATATACATCTACAAACGACGGTGAAATATTTTTTTCTTATTATTGCTTATTCTTGAACTTAGATAGTTTTTTTTTTACTGTTTCATAAGGCTTACGAGGCACAAGAACCGATATCGAACATAGGCGCGAAACGTTTGGTTCAAATGTTATCCCACCGAAACCTCCGAAAACGTTTTTGACGTTAGTCTGGGAGGCGCTACAAGACGTCACTCTGATTATTTTAGAAGTAGCAGCTTTAGTTTCTCTTGGCTTATCATTTTACAAACCCGCCGACGAAGATGCTCGTGAGTACTATAAATTATTTTTGTTTTTACATTTATAACAAAGAAAACAGATAATGTGATCGGAACTATATTAATATCATATTTCAAGCAAAAAAAAAAAAAATTAATTGTAGCTTATATATCTTTTAGCCGTGCTGCAAGAAGAAGAAGATCACCATGGCTGGATAGAAGGTCTAGCAATTTTGATATCTGTTATTGTTGTAGTTTTTGTCACAGCTTTCAATGACTACTCGAAAGAACGACAATTTCGTGGTTTACAGAATAGAATTGAAGGCGAGCACAAATTCTCCGTTATTCGTGGAGCCGAGGTGTGCCAAATATCTGTTGGTGATATTGTCGTCGGTGACATTGCACAGATCAAGTATGGTGACTTGTTACCAGCTGACGGTATACTAATACAAAGTAATGACCTCAAGGTAATGGGCATGCTTTTTTTAAGTTACTGTTATCATTCTTTTGTGAACATTATAGTGTGTATGTATATTCACTTCAATATTATTTTCAATTACTCAGGTTGATGAATCATCACTGACTGGCGAATCTGATCATGTCAAAAAAGGTGTAGATGTTGATCCCATGGTACTTTCGGGTACACACGTTATGGAAGGCAGCGGAAAAATGGTAGTAACAGCCGTTGGTGTTAATTCACAGGCGGGAATAATATTTACATTGTTGGGTGCTGCTGTTGATGAACAGGAAGCTGAGCTGAAAAAACGAAAAAAAGGTTGGTGAATTATAAAGGTGTTCTATATTTTTGAACGAAATTGTTTGCATTCTGTATAATGCGTAAAGCAAAGCCTGAACAATACTTCAAGTAGATCATAATGATATTTATGTTAAGCTTATGCTGCTCTGCCTATAATTGCATTGCTATGTTCATAGTTTCATTTCAGATATTTTAAACCCTAGTTATGTCTACCTAGAGTTGCATAAGGATGCCGTTTAATGTTTCTCGATTTTTTTTTAATATACATTAAGCCGATGGCAGATAAGACTTTTGCGCCGATCTCATGAACTGATGAATTGAAACAGAAATGTTTAAAACATGTTTAATAAAAACTTAATATAACCGATTTTTGGTTTATAAGAATATTTGAATAGAAAACTTTTGTTGTTTTTGATTTATCATAGTTTGTGTTTTCCGCTTTGCGGGCACAGCTGGCAAATTCACAGAACGCATCTGGGTCAGATAATTTAAAATCGTTGTGCACTAAATTGCATAAATGACATAATATCTTTCAAGTATTGTAATACACTTATCGCTTTCTTTTAGTTATAAGAAACGTGTAGGACTTTAAACAACGTTGTCAATCAAAGAATTTGGACTTCGTAATGCGAAAGATAAATGCAAAAAAAAAATTAATTTTATCCTGAACTAGTATTCCTCCAATTTCAAATTTACCAAACATGATAACATAGTATCTTCTTATATCTCCAATTACTTGTTCTCTATTTATTCAGATAACTAAAAATATGAATAGTGTCTATGGTCTTGAAGCTGCACTATTTTCGTTGCAACGATTTCATTCTCGTAGTTATGATGTAAAATGTACTCCACTGCGTAAAAGGCCAAAGTTGAAAATGTCCGTAAAGTAATAGAAATCGTTGAGTCTGAGCTTGAGTCTTGAGCCCTAATACACTGTTTCGATTGAGCAGGAGCTACACGTTGCACAAAAAATATGTTTAGCTCAGTACACAGGACAGAAGTGAAACTTCAATGGCTATCTTGGTTAGAGAGAACGAGAAATTTATTCATGATTCTAAATGAGACATTCGAAAAAACATACTTCGTATTTATAAATTCAATTATTAATCTGTCATTGTACTAGTTAAAATACGTCAGATATACAATTTTTACAGTAGATGCTAAAACATAATATGTACATATGCTCGCGACTCGCAGGCCCAAGACCTCTCCAAAGCGGAGACCGATAATGGTCAATGATGAGTGCATATTCTAGACACTACCTTGCAAGAAGCCTTACGATCATTTGAGCCAACATATCTCAGGAATGGCTATACTCCTGGTAGCTCTTAGAATGATTTTCTCGTCACTTCCTCAATGAGAAAAGTGATGTTTATATTTGTGTACGTGTGAGAATCTTTCTTGTGCATTTTCGTCATTCTTGGCGTGCAAACAGAACACAGTTTACCGACATAATTGATACCAGTGTTAAAAAAATCTGCGTAGCTTTGCTTTGTTATGATGATTTTGGTTTAGCTTCCACTTTGAGATTTTCTGTTCAACATGAAAGCGAACAGCGGCTGTGGCCATCGCAGCAGACTAAGATCGGTTGTTGTGCTGTTGATCTCGACTGTCGTTGATAAAAGTAATACGACAGTTTTAAGTAATGCAACGACAGCATTAGGAATGAAAAACATCCAAAGTTACTGCGAAACCGTGCAAATTCAAATGAAGCTATCAATATAGTATTAATATATATAATATTACATGCATTGTACATTTGTATTATGTAGGTACTTAGGTATGTAACATGTCAGTAGGCATACAAAACAGGTCTACTCGGCTATATATCGTACACTAACAGGCCTATTCTGTCGAGGTAATAAAATTTACCTAGGTATTAAAATTTACCATTCAGTGAATTTTGTTACCATTTCGTATCCTGAGCTCACTGTTGCACTGTAAATGTTGTTTGATTTTGTGTTGTAAGTTTGAGAAAAAATAAGAACCAAAATGGGTAGGCATATTTTAGGCCTGTAATCCTTTGAAGGTGAAGAAAAAAGTGCAAAAAGCTGTATTTTAAGAAGACAACGTTTTCATTTAGCTTTTTTTTTTTGTTGTCCAGGCATATTTTTCATAATTAGCTTCAAATATTTATGATTTAATAAACAAATTACTAAAACTTTTTAATTTTTTTGTGCACCGTCTTCCATTTCGATGTGAATATTTTTCAATTTACTTTATCAACTGGCAAATGTAATTTGACATGGACGAAAAAAGCATTGCTGCCAAATTTTTTTCAAACATTGTAACCAGTTCGCCAGAATACCAAATTCAATTTCGGGTCTTAAAGAAAAGTAACAAAATTTTCTTTACCTGTAAATGTTCAATAACTAGCCGAGACAGTACTATCAATTTGGCGTCGTTTTATGTTTAACAGCCGAAAGCAAGAGCGGCAGCAAACTAACAAAAAACCGACAGCAAAACAACCATACTCTGCTGTTGCTAACTTTGCTGTCACTGTTGTAGTGTTCACCGAAAAGCAAAAGTCACATTCATGGTTCTTATGTGAATGTAGTTTACCTTGCTGTCGTGCACACATATGAGCGACTGCATTGATGCCAAAATCAATCACCTTTGATATAATATTTTTTATTTCAGCTTCTATGGCATAGAAAGCAAATAAAAATTCAACAATAATTTTACTTACCAAAAATCATCAAAATACTTCAAAGAAACCATCAGCGGAAATCTTTAATTATGTTGTTGTTGTTGTAACCGAAAATTATTCTCCAAAGTACTTTTTGGTGAATGTTTCGGGAGTGACAGTTCTTGGCCGGATAAAAATCCGGTTCGTTCCGGTATAAAGATCCGACTGTCACGGGAACTATTGGATTTTAGACGCCTCTTACGACAGGCATGCCTTACCGCGGGTAAATTCTTGAGCCCCTAATCCACAGCTTTAAAATAGTTGCTGTTGATTTTGTAGCGGCTACGTTAACTCCGTTTAGGGGCCGCGCATAGCGATAGTCATTCACCAGAAGCTCTGAGGCATTGGTTAGAAGTGATTACCGTCTATTGTTGTCTATGACAAATGATTTGGCTGGTAAAGAGAGGACCTCAAGAAAACCCTGTGAATAAGGATGACCCCAATTGTTTGCCAATAGGGAAATACGTTGGAATAAAATCTTAAATTATTTTTTAACAAATGCTAATTATAACAAGTAAAAATCAAAAGGCAGATTCGCACACTTACTCTCCCTCCACTGAAATTCATACTAATAAAGTTAAATAAGCTTAGTCTCTTCTCCGCAAGCGGGTTTGACTTTTTGTATGGACCAAGGTGTTTGCCTAAGGGTTCGGATAGTTACGCAGTTTTGTTAAGTATTTTTTGGCTGCGATTTCGATCTCCTACTTGATGATAGGTATATTTAGATCTCTATGGTATGTCCGTTATTACTCTTAACGTTTTCAAGTCGCTGAATTATATCTATATTCGTCGCGTCAGCTGTATCGAATAACTTGATTCTATACATCCATATCGGCTTTACTTTTGCATTATATAAGGGTGCTAATGCTTAGTCCAGACCTTGTTTAAAAAATAATGTAAATTGGCAGATTTGAGTTTAAGCTGCAGCCTTTTAGAAGGAATGTGCAATCTCCACGTTAAGCGCCTGCCCACGTGGATTCCAAGGTATGTAATTTCGTTAGCTTGCGGGGTCGACATATTGTTGAAATTAATAGTAGTGCACGTTTTAGGCCTTTTCATTTACCTTTACTGTGAATGGCCTGCGTTTGGTAATGCTTGTTTACTTTTGTGGATGAGACCATCATTCCGCACTTTGTCAAATGCGCGTACCACCTCAAGAAAATCGGCCGAGCAACACTCTCTGGATTCGAAAGCTTTCTTTATTTCATTTTTTATACGATTTACTTGTTCAATTGGGCCGTGTTTTTCATTTTGATGGAGAGAAGAAGTAATTTTTGATATCAGCACTTTTTCGAAAAGTTTTGTTATGCAAGGCAACAAGCTGATTGGTCCATATGCAGGTTTGCGCTTTTACCTGGCTTAGCTGTCATAATTATCTGCGACTTTTTTCATAGTTTTGAATAGTATCCTAGCTTTAAAATGGCTCTGAAACACTTTGCAACCTGAGCAATGTTTGACAATTCTTTTATTTAAGGCGGTAATAATATTTTTAGTTCAGACACAGAAGCTAAGCAAGTAATAGTGTTTCTAGGAGCAGTATGGCTCGGTGACCAAGGTGAATTTTTGTTAGCAGTATTTGGTTGAAATACCGCACTGAGGTGCTCTGCCTTGGCGCCTTTTTATCATCCGTTCTGGCAGATGAATCGTTAAGCGGTCTCAGCGGTGCTTCACTTTTGGTAGGTGGCTTAAGATTTTTGCTAGTTTTCCAAAACTATTATTATATGTAGGAGAAGAGTTCTGGCGATCGGTAGACTAGTAACTCGAGACGAAAGCTTCGCTTGTTTCGGACCAGCAGCTCTGTTTCACTGTTACTTATAATTTTTTCGGCCTTCAGCGGAGTTTTCTGACTCGTTGTAGCAAGGGTTGCTGCTGTCACTAGTATATTGTTAAATAAAAGTACCTCGTTTTCTATGTCAAGTTAACTCTTATTTTCCGGATCGGTTTGTTTATGACTTTTTATGTATTTCTTATATTTTATATATTATAATTATTGGGGAGTGATCTGATGTTAAGTTTGTACAGGCTTCAGCAGATACTAAATCCCTATCAACGGTTTTGCCGACTGCAAAGTCAATAAGGTCTTAGGTCCTTAGGTCTGTAGGCCGGTAAGTTAGCTGTCCTGGAGAGATAAAGTCAAAACTATTTGCGAGCACATAACCATAACATTATGTAACTGGCGACCTTTTGGGTTTATTAGTCGAGAGCCCCAGTGAGTGTGCTTCGCATTGCAATCTCCTCCAGCTAAAAATCTGTCTCCAAGTGTTATAAAAAGTCTTTAAACTGCTTTTCGGTTCGGTGTGATTCGTGCAGTACAACGTAAGCCCTGGTATTTAAAAATTATACTTATTGGTGAAAATTATTTTAATTTGTGCTGATAACGAGGTTAATCATATTCAGCCATTCTATAAACTTATCCTAATTCCGCTCAATTCTTACTTAACAAGATTTTATTTGGTTTGGTTTGGGTCTGCTCACGTTTTTAAACCGCTAGCATTGGTCATTCGAATAGTAATTGGCTGGGTAAATTGGAAGGTACCGTAACTGGAATATTATGTGGGAGTTGATTGCGTTTAGCTTGAATACCTGGAGACTGTTCCGTTTTTAGGTTTTTATATATAGGATAGTTTTATTGGTTGCCACCACCTTACTGCATTTTCCTTTGTTTTTAAACATA